TATATATATATATATATATATGAAGAAATGTTCTGAAATGTTTAACCCTGTAATTGTTTCTCTTGTTAATAATTCCTTTTCTACTGGGTGTTTCCCGAATATTCTTTGTGAAGCCGTGATTATTCCCCATATCAAAAAAACCTAATCTCAATAAAGACGTGTTAAGCAATTACCGTTCCGTGTCCAATCTTCCCACCCTTGATAAGATTCTTGAATATCCTGCAATCTCAAGATTTAATTGCTATTTTCAGTCAGAAGGCATTTCTGATAAATTTCAATCCGCCTATAAGTCGGCCCATAGTACAGAAACTGCCCTTCTTCGGGTTAAAAATGATATTGTTAAGGAAGTAAGCCTTGGTAGGGAAGTTATGCTTGTTTTAATTGATTTGTCTGCAGCCTTCGATACCATTGACCACGAAATTCTCATAAATAGGTTGCAAAATTAATATGGTATCGGAGGCTGCGTGCTAGATTGGTTTAATTCGTACCTGAGGGATCGTAACACTAGTGTGTGTATTTCTGGTAACTTCTCTAAAGTCTATCCGCTTCAATTTGGCGTCCCCCAAGGATTAGTCGCTGGTCCATCGATCTTTACTGCATTCTCAAAGCCAGTCAGTGATATTATCAAGCGTTGTAATGTTTCCTATCACATATATGCTGATGATATCCAGCTATATGTTAGTTATGATCCTAAGGTACTCGGGGATAGGGATACTGCACAATGTCGATTAACAAAGTGTATTGACGAGGTGAAAATCTGGATGCTTGAAAACAAACTTAGGCTTAATGAGGAAAAAACTGAATTTTTTCTTATTTCATCCCAAAGGAAAATCAATTCTATTAAAAAATTTAAATTGGTGAATTTTCAATTGCCCCCTCGTCATCAATTAGGAACCTTGGGGTTGTTTTTGATCCCTGTCCTAAAATGGACTTACAGGTTTCGTCTTTATGTCGGTCGGTTAATTTTCATTTACGAAATATCTCACGTATTAGACGTTTCATTGACCAAAATACCTGTGCACATGCAGTACGATTACTGATTCTTTCTCGGTTGGATTACGGAAACTCCTTGCTTGCTGGAATTTCACGTTCTAATGTACAGCGTCTCCAAAAACTCCAAAATCGTGCTGCTCGATCAATTTACGGTGTAGATAGACGCACTAGTACTTCGCCATTGCTGCGAGAATTGCATTGGTTACCGGTCCAACAGAAAATACATTTCAAAATTTTACTGCATGTGTACAACACTTTCAATAATATTGCCCCAACGTATCTTCAAGTTATTATCAGTAAATATGAACCAGGTCGTATAGGTCTTAGATCATCTAAAAGTAATTTGCGCCTGACAGTACCTATCTCCAAGACCTCATTTGGTGATAGTGCGTTTTCTGTTATTGGACCAAGGCTATGGAATAGCACTCCTTATGAGATCCGCCAGGCTCCCTGTGTTAAAATCTTTAAAAAACAACTTAAAACGTATCTGTTTCCTATTAAGTAGTTTTGTATCTTTTAACGGTAGTTTTAAGATTTATGTATATATAAATATATATTTTGGACTTTGATATGTACAGCGCTTTGATCATTTTGAAAAAGCGCTTTATAAATGCAAAATAATAATAATAACAATAATATATATATATATATATATATATATATATATATATTTAAGAGGTAAAGAAGAGGAATCA